CACCAGTCACTCAGTTCAGCTGGGGGTTATAAGTTGACCACCAGTTATCAATCCACTATACAAGCACAAGGCCCTGAGTTAGATTCCTAGTACAAAAAGAAAAAAGCCAATAAATTTAGAATATAAGATAACATTATTAAAATGCCTAAAAAATAACTACTAATTTAAAATTCTACATGTAGACAAAATAATCTATGAAAATAAAGGCAAAATAAACATAGTTTCAGTCAAATAAAAACTGAAAAAATATGTTAAAAATAAACCTGTACTGAAAGAAATGTTAAAGGGTGTTCTAACAAAAGAAATACAACAGAAAGTCAAAACAGCAGAAAGGAATGAAGAGGGTAAATATGTGATGGACTGAATAAATACTGACTACACATAACAGGAATTGCAGTGGCTATGGAGTCTAAAATATATGCTGAGAAACAATAATACAGAAGAAAAACTGGTAAATGAAGTTAAAATTATTCCAAGGCCAGACTTTTAGAGAAGTTGTAATGGTAATCACTAATATTAAACTAAAATAAATAAGCATACATAATTTCTAGGAAAATCACTCAAATATAGTAACAGAATAATAAATAGAGCAGTAGAATAATAAAATTATTCTTTGTAATTTATGAAGGACAGAAATTTGTTTTCTCATACTTCTGGATCCTGGGAAGTCCTGATCCAGGCCCCTACAAGCTTGGTGCTTAGAGAAAGCTACTTTCACGTGCCAAGATGGCACTTTATGCTATATCCTCACATGTTGGAGGACAGAAAGACAGAAGAGGCAAGCACCTCCTCTGTCTTAGTCACTTTCCTCTTCCCTGACGAGACGTTTATTTGGCTCACGGTTACAGAAGATCAGTCCATGGTTGGCAGGCTCAGATGCAGAAATAGCATGGAGAAGGGACTGCTTTGGAGAAAAGCTACTCACATCATCACCCTGTGCATACTATGCTGGAGTCTGAGGGACTTGCTTATTCTGTAGGACTTTCGTGACTGGAGTCCTTCCAGCAATTCCTATTATTATGTCTGGACATGGGAATGGATATATAAGGTGTACTCTCTGTGATTACTTCACTCAACTTGTCACTAATACATAGCCTGAAATATGTGGGAGTGACTGGTGCAAGGGCCTTCCTTTTTTTAATTTTTTTTTTTGGGTGTTGTTCTCCGGTACCGGGAACCGAACTCACGACCTTGCACTTGCCAGGCAGGTGCTTTTGCCGCTGAGCTAACTCCCCAGCCCGGGGCTTCCTGAGTAAGCAACCAAAATAGTTCCTTTACAGCTCTATGTTGTTGCGGAGGGAGTCCTTGTCCAGTAGTGGAGGCACTCATTTGTGCCTCCATGGGGCTGATCTGTCATCCAGGAGCTTTCCCTCCCTGTTCACTAAGTTGAGGTTTATGCCACACTTTGAGCAGGACTAAGTCATAAATAGAGTCAGGTACAATTCTCTCAACTGGGAGAAAGTATGCAAAAGACTGAAAAGTTCAACAGTAATAAAAGGAAAGATAATAAAAAAGAGGGAGTGAAGAAATAAGAAGTTAAAAGGTAGGGATTAAAAATAAGAAAAAAGAAGAGAAAAAATCCAGTTAGAAAATTTAAAAATACATGGGGCTGGGGATTTAGCTCAGCGGCAAAGCGCCTGCCTGGCAAGCGCAAGGTCGTGAGTTCGGTTCCCGGTACCGGAGAAAAACCCAAACACTCCCCCCCAAAAAAGAAAATTTAAAAATACAGACAGATAAAATTATGCAAAATAATGAGAGAAAACAAGACAAAGTGAGGGAGCCAATATTCCTCCATGCTGAGGAATTTGAAATGAAGATCGCCTTCCTAGGACCTCTAACTCTGGAACACATCAAGTTTGGAAGCGGTTGTTACTGCGTTACAGCTGCACTTGGGATGCTGTGTTACATCTCAGCTGCTGCCCAACACAGGGCAAGTGTGGGCTAAGCCCCGCCCACCTCCCTCCCGGCTTGGGTCAAGGCAGTGTGGTCCAAGACTATATTCACACCAGAGGTTTTTGTATGTGTAGCTGGG